ATGTGTGGATCCCTACCTGTAGCCATAAAGTGTGCATTCCGAGCCACTGGAATCATGAGGAGAAAGTAAACAACACTGAAGTGTACAAACCTTATCCTCAACCCGAAGAAGTCCGAAAGGCAACACCCAAGGCTCGAAATGATGGGATCTTGTATACCTTACTCAACCTGAGGAAACAAAACTCATTGAGTCTGAAATTATGAACACTCATCCTTCCCAACCATGTGGGTAAGGTAAATTCCACTTGCTCCCAGAATTATGGGGAGGACATGGAATAACTGTGCTCAACCATGGACCCAGGATGGGACCACTCTGCATTCAGAATCACAAGGAGACAATGGACCCTCTTCCACAAACAATGTACTGAACCCATACTGATCAAAAAGAAGGGCCATGCTCAACCCAACCAGATAGCATAGCATCATATCTACAACCGGTATTACGAGTAAGCTCCCATGTAGACTGGCGCCTCTCCTACTATATCTGGAAAACAACATCCAGGGACCCGGGTAAGAAAGCCCTCAACTTTGCCCTCATCTCCAAGTGTAGAGGAAATTCACTCTAACACTCTGGAGGAAAAGCCTCTGTCTACCACGTCAGTGACTGGAAACTGGGTGTGATAAGGACTCCCTAGCTCCACTAGTAGAATCTGGAGGGCAATGTGCGTTGGGGAGTCCTGAGGAACAGTGCTTTGGAAACAATCCAATAGGTGAACCAAGTTCCCTAAATTTTCAAAATCAAACCAACTAGAATTTATTAAATCCAATGATCAGCAGGGATGGGCATTATTCCCTTAAGCTTTACTTATGATAGTCCATGAGTGGAGGTCCAGCATAGTACAGTAACACCACCCGATCAGCCTCTAGGCGGTCGTATGGAACACCTCATTTATACTGAGCATGTTGCAACCTAGGTAAAATATATTGAGTTAATAGTTGTTGGTGTGGAACTGGTTAGTAAAAGCACATCTGCCTGGGCAACACTCGCCACAGAGTGGGATCCAGTGAAAAAGAGGTAAGGGGCCCTGTAAAGTAAAGAGATAAGGAGAGCAAAACATACTCATCTCTCCTTATAATCTAGCTAATGGGGTCAAAACAGTCACACGGGGTAGTCAAACACCCTCAGAGGAAGAAACTACCAGATCATGCAAATAATGTGAGATAAAAGTATTGGGAGAGGTTCACATACCAGCCCGCACAATGTCCTCCAGCAGGCAATTCAACAAGGCAGCTAAGAACATAGAGATGTGATGAATCTGATGAGATATGACTCACAAAAGTTTCCTCATTTGCAAAGAGAATCCAGAATAAGCAATATGGATCAATTTTTGAACCTATCTCATCTTGAGATAAATCACGGGAAACTGAAGAATCACAATGAATAAAACGTCATTGTCTACCACCTCTAAAGGTGTTAGTGCAAGCCACATAACACTTCAGGGCCCTAACTGGACATAACTGATCTGGGTCCGAGTGGTTATAGGAGTGAGAAGTAGCGGCCAAATAATTGGTGAGAAGGATTTACCCCTTCCTTGGCTGCCAAAGTCTTGGGTTGGAAAGACATGTATGGGTATAGAAGGATGTAAGTAGAATGATAGAGTCCTGTGCACATGCAGTGCAAACAACTCTGACTGACAACGTCCACAGGCCAGCAACAACAAAAAATAAACTTCACGAAAAAGTTGATACATGGTATGTGAGGCTAAGGGCTCAAACGAATATCAATACAGAGCATGTAATACCACCTTAATATCCCAGTAAGGTAACTGGAAAGGCCTTTTGGGACAAAGGTTTTAAAATGACTTGAGAAAGCCAGAAAACATTGGGGACTTAAATAATTTCTGTTTTTTTTTAGTATCTAAATGTAGTCAATAAAGCCACCTTATATAAGGCAGTTGTAGACAATGATAAGCCCTTGTCAAAAAGTCAGGTCAAAAAATGAGCTATGGTTGGCACATTTGGATGAAATGGGTTCAATTTCCTCTTGAAACACCATTGTCAGTATGTGTGCTTTTCTTTTAACAAATGTCCATTGTGAGACTATGCAGAGACTGAGACAAATACATGGCAACCTTAGAAGTTAAACCCTGATGCCGTGTGAAGGACGGCATAACTTCCATGCATGAAGTTTGAGCTTCAGAATGTCTGGGTGTATAATGTTGGATTGTGGTTGCCTCAACAGAGATGACCAATGAAGCAGAAACCATGTTTGAGCCAGTCAATCTGGTGCTACCAACAGCACATGACAAAGGGTTGATTGAACTATAGCAAGAACTCTGAGTAACAGTCGGTGGTAAGGCATAGAGGTGCAATTCCATCAAGTCCTGACTGAATGCACCTTTTGTCACTGCCCGAGGATGAGGTACCGGGTACCAAAATGCCTGTAGTTGATTGTTTCAATAAGTGGTGAATGCATCAATCATCAGTGTCCTGAACTGAAAGCAAATCCAACAGAAAACCCCTCGATGAAGCATCAATTCTATCGGAAGAATCCAGTTTGATCTGCCACCAAATTCATCATTCCCAGAACATGGCAAGCTAGAAGGATGATATGATGGGAGTAGGCCTAATATAAAATATTCAAAACAAAAAGACCTGGACCAAGTGCCCCCTTGAATGGAAAAACAAGACACCACCATAGAACTGTCAGAGTGAAGCATAATGACTTTGTCCCTGAATAATTACAGACCTTGAGACAACACCCTTTGAACACATTGTATAGGCTACACTAACATAACATTTAGGTGGTTCATTTAACTATCATACATGATGTACATTTGTTGGGGGGTGGTTAATGAAAGTGTTTTAAAATGCAAAATTTATTAATTCCCTGGAAATTTTAATTTTTAGCAACAGTTAACTATGGCAAAATAATTGCAGTGTAACAATATTTACCCTGCCTACATAAAAAAGAAAAAGTACTTTAAATCATTTTGGAAGTCAATTCTATTACCATGAGCAAACATGAGATGATTTCATTGACAGAATACCATTTGTAATTTTTGTGATTAAGGCTTTTTTTTTTTTTGCTATTTCCACCTTTAATTAACTTTGTGGGTATGATTTAGCTACTAAACTTACCTGAAATCTTTTCTTTTGCACATGTTTTTCTGTGTTCCTGATTTTTGTAGTATTTTGATATTAGGGTTGTGTCCCAATATATCAAAATTCCAAATGCTGATGCAATTTATTCTTATATTATAATTGTTATGGTATATATTTTTTCCTTATTTTCACCTTTACTCTACACTTTACAGAGCTTTTTTTAAACTATTTCCAACCTCAGTGGAGCAATAATTTTATTATCTACATATGATTTGTCTGTTAGGCTTTCCATTAGAATTTTCTTTTGTATGACTGCATTTTAGAGATCAAAACAATATCTCAGTTTGAAAGAAATCTCCAACTCAACAGTGTTAGTACATCTAAACACTTTTCTAGTAGTTAATAGAATTTTACTCCATAAACTTAGCTTAGGTTATCTTTTTACAATAGTTTTTTGTAATAAGAATTGCCTGTGTAACTTTCACTTTGTCATTTTTATCTTTATGAATTATTATGAGAATAAGTTTATTATCAATGATACAAACAAAAAATTATGACAAGTGGATTGCTCTGTATCTTAAAATGCAAAGTTTTTGTTCAGGTATTCCTGACTGTGCCACAGTGCCAAAACTATGGATAGCCTTGCCCAGTAATACTAATATTAATAATTATACTAGTATTACTACTAGTAGTATTATTGGTACCAACATTAAGATTACTACTAGCATTGAGTAGTAATAGTAATACTACTTACTAGTGGTAGTAAAATGGAATGGTTATATAACTAGATTTTAAATAATTAGACTGAATAGTAATAGATTACTACGATTATTGACATATAATTTTAACTATAATTTATAGTACCAATAATTATATCAACTATTAATAACAGTATTAATACAGCCACATATTCTAAACAGTGTATTTATCCGTTATAGTAATTATCCAATTAATCATTACTGACATTAATCTAATGTCATGAGTAATGTCAAATTTCAAAACGAATACATTATAACTTACAAGTTACAATACAAATATGTATAAGCTATTTAGTAAGTGAGTTCCGGTGATATTGAATGACGATTGTAATGTAAATTCAAAATTCTTTTGTTTGAGATTTTCGTTAACTTCAATGAAAAATAAGATAAAATCCAAAAATAGCTAGATGTGCTCACCACACTTTAACTTTAAGGATGATAATTGCTGGGCACGTGACAGCTCAAGGTGTTTGCAGCACCCTCCTGTGTGGGTATCACTAAGTAATAATATGTATATATTTTTTAAATTATATATATATATTTTTATTGTTGATGTTGTTAAACACAACGTTACACAAATGTGCTGTCACTGCTTTGCCCACCTTGGGTATCGAAATCCGACTTTTAGCGATCCTCAAGCTTGCCGCTGAGCCACCAGGGGGCTTTTTCACTTTTCGTGATATTTTAATGATAATGTCATAATATATCTCTCTTATTCTCTTGATATAAATTTATTAAAAATAAGCTGAAATATACATGAATCCATCTTCATAAACTCCATTATACGTCTGTAAGTCAAAAGATTTTAAATAAAGACCAGGTGTTGATTGTTTAATTAATAAGATATTAACATATCTGAAATAATATAAACTTATGCAAGCAAGAATATAAAGAAAATAATGTATATGGTTACCGTGAAGAATATTCACTATAACCATATAAATTATTTTCTTTTTTATTACACATTAAAGATAGCTTTTATTTTTTGGCAGTTGTTTACTCATCGTTAACATTAATGATAATGTTACGACAGCGGAAGTCACGTGAGGCTAGTAACACATCATTGACTTCTAGAAATATCCTGTCCCTTCCTGAATGCTCTAGCGTTTACTAGATATGCGGTAGTCTAGTATATATAAGACGGTCAAGACGTGACGGCAACAATGTAATGTAAGTGTAATTGAACTGCGGACCGAGAGAGAGACGTATTGTTGAGCACGTGAGACGTTCGTTGTGAATTATAGCGTTTGTTATAGCGCGACTGTGGAAATTAAGTGTATCGCAAAGTTGTATTCAGAAAGAATAAACCAGTTTTATTTAAGAAAGGACTTGTATCGGTAAAGTTTCTTCGGAAAGAATTTTTACGGAAAATTAACTAACAAACGGGGCTTAACAATAATATAGTCATGTCGGACACGATTTACTTGTATTATTTATTTTTCCTCAAGTTCACTACTTAGCTGAGCCTTTATCAAACAGACCTTTGAATATCGATTTAAAATTAGAAAAGTGCTATGATTTCACTCTTGAGTCTTTGTTCTCTTCAATGACATTTGTGATAACTTGAGAAAAACAAGGTGATTCTGGAAATATTATATCTTAATTGTAAATTAAATTGTTTTTCATAGCTCAGAATTATATAACCTGTTTTTTATACTTCAAATTTCAAATAAAAAATATATGTTAAAACCTAACGCCTTTTTCATACATATTTTGTAAAACAATGTAATCTGTATTTGCAAATATGGAATAAATGGCGATTCGTTTTCATATTTTTGCAATAAGAATAGATCAGAGGTTTTTAAATCTGTTGCTTTAACATAATTTGTGTTACAAACTTCTAAAAGCGTTTTAATGTGCACTTTTTACTTGTTTTTTTATTTTATTTTAGGTTCATTCTGCCAGTGATAAAAGAAAATGACCTGTGTTAGAGCTCAGTAACGAGGAAACAATTAAGAAAAATTAGATGGAAGAAGAAGGGACTCCATCAAGAACTCAGATGCGTGGGCTCTTGATGCTTGAATTATAGTTGCCTTAGACTCTTTCGTAAGAGCTAGGGAGTGGGCCAAGAAAATCCGCTAAATAGGATTGGAATGCTGTGATAAGCTCACTTTTCAGGGTACTACCAAGAAAAGCCTCAAATGATTTATAAATAAGATTTAACAAAATTGAAGTTAGAATTATAGTATATAGGCATACCACATGTTTCCTATTTTCTTATTTAATATGCAAATTTTAAAATTTCTCTACATAACATGTACTTATCTTTGATAAAGAATGCCAGTCAAGAGAACCATTCTAGTTTCCTACTAAACTGGGTCACTCTACTAGGGTGTCAAATATACTTTTTGTGAGAATGATTGTGGTAAGGTAGAGCATACAGTAAAGAAATAGACAATGATCTTTCCCGCTGGTATGTCAGATGATGCGTCAAGAATACAATATCTCTTATTTTGTAGTGAGAATGAACATCAGTCACGTGAGTAGCATCGACGCACTGAGTATAATAGTATTGTCATTTTTTGTGCATAATGTGATATTTTTTCAGTCTGTATGGTGATTTTTTTAGACAGAGATATGATTAGATTTTGCTAATGATTTTAACAGATAATTTATAAATATTGTTACGACAGCGGAAGTCCCGTGACGCTGGTAACACGTAATGGGTATCTCGAAGGTACCTGAAAGCTCGAGCGTTCGCTAGACGCGCGCTTTTTTATTGTATATAAGCCCACAAATAAAGTGACGGCAACATTTGAATTGCAGACTGGCAGAGATAGAGACGGACAATTGAGTCAATTACCTTAAGAAAAGTGCATGAATCGTTGTGAATTATAGCGTGTGTTTAAGTAAAGTGACTGTGGAAATTAAGTGTATTGCAAAGTTGTATTGAGAAAGAATAAACTTGTTTCATTTAAGAAAGGACTTGTGTCGCTGAAGTTTTTCGGAAAGATTTTTTACGGGAAATTAACAAACAAGCAAATATGCAACAGTATTATTTTGGTGAATCCTTAACCTGTTAGCCTCATTTCCAGATGGAAATCATTCTTCATTATGTCATACAATGTTACCTGAACAGGTAGGTGTTTTTTTCCATTGACTTTTGTGTTCATAGACGATCACCTGTTAAGTACAAGTGATACACCCATCTATGAAATTCTAATTAGCCGATCTAAATACATATTTATGAAATGAGTAAATGAACGTTATGCATCAGAAAGAACTATTACATTCGCTTCCCAAACCGTCAATTTTGGTGGCATCACATTACTTACGGAATGCCAAACAATGTTAAAAGGTAATTCAGATACAAGACATTCCATCAATACTTTGTATCAGTTGTGGTTTCAGTGACTTGCTGATTTGCATATTCAAAATTATTTTAATATAACGCACTCAGCCCTCTGTATTTCAGTTTAATTGTGTTGTTTGTCTCGTGTTATGTATTACGATATATGTCATTAGTTAGATTTATTGATATAATGAATCAAGAATATTGTTACGTTTGTTTGTTTTGAATTTTGCGCAAAGCTACACCAGGGCTATCTGCACTAGCCGCCCCTAATCTAGCAGTGTAAGACTAGAAGGAAAGCACCCACCGCCAACTCTTGGGCTACTCTTTTACCAACGAATGGTGTGATTGAAAGTCACATTATAACGCCCCCACGGCTGAAACGGCGAGCATATTTGGTGGGACGTGGATTCGAACCCGCGACCCACAGATTGCGAGTAGAGTGTCCTAACCACCTGGCTATGCCAAGCCATATCGTTACATCTCTGTTCGTTTGTTAATTTTCCGTAAAAATTCTTTCCCAAGAAACTTTAGGGATACAAGTCCTTTCTTAAATAAAACTAATTTATTCTTTTGCAGTACAAATTTGCAATACACTTAATTTCCACAGTCAGTTTAACTTAAGCAAACGCTATAATTCACAATGAACGATTCACGTACTACCATGCTTGACTCAATTGTCCGTCTCTATCTCTGTCTGCAATTCAATTCCCTTGTTGCCGTCACTTCTAGGTGGTCTTATATATCATAAAAGTGTACATCACGTCTCTTCGTGAATCTTCTAGAAACTCATCACGTGTTACCAGTTCACGTGACTTCCGCTGTCGTAACACTTCCCCTTCCTTAGTAATTTTCGTCCCGAACAATAGCCACTTAAATTAAACCGATAATTAACAATAACTTAATTAAATGTACAGAATTTACGAACACCACAAACACAAAAATTAAATTTCAACAAAGTATCTTTGTAACTTTTTCCATACTGGCTTCTGCTTCACGTGAGGTTCATCTGCTCCATCGGGAATTGTCCTATTATTGGTAACCGTCACATCAGTGGTAGTAACTTCATCAAGGGCTTCACTGTTTCCCTTCTCGAAACCGAGTAGAGTTTCTTCTTTGACAGTGGCCTTTCCAGGTGACACGTCTTCAGTGGCGTCTTTTGTTCCATTGTTCACTTCATTCCAACTTAACTGTCCTAGACCATGATAACGCCAAAGCCTGTTGGCATGCACCACTTTTGGTTTACCTCGCCGACAACATTTTATTTGGAAAGACATGTCTCAGAGACGATCCACTATGTCAT